GAGAGAGAGAGAGAGAGAGAGAGAGAGAGAGAAAGATTGAGAGAGAGGGAGAGAGGGAGGGAGGGAGAGAGGGAGAGAAGAGAAGGGAAGAGAGAGAGAAAATCAATTGGTTTAGAAGGTTTGGACTCACTTGACAGGTTCAGTTGGAGACGATCATAGGTGGCTGCTGTGACAAAGGGAAATTGTGCTTTTCCAGCATGCTTACTGACCCTGATTTACCTCAGGAGTTTGAAAGGTGAGTACAGTTTTCCCCCCTAATATATTGAAGTACAACTCTCATTTTACAGTCATCTCTGAATCAATTGGAAGATGCTTCCCTAAAACGTGTTTGTTAGAAAAGCTTTTAGCTAGTGCTTCTGCAATCTTGTTAGCTGATTTTTGTTGTGATTGCCCGGACCAAATTGAACTGATTGGCAAAGTCTCCGAGATTTCTGTTAATGTTTTTAGGTTGTGTCCTATAACAGGAAATTAAATGAACATTAAGCATCTCTCTCGCTTCCACTCGCTGGTTTTCTCTTTCTCATTCCCTCTCTTACTTTCTTCCTTCATTGATATTTTTCTCCCCTTCTTCACCTTTTTAAATGCTTTTGTGTAGAGTGTTACCATTTTCAATATCTCTGTCTCCTAATTTCTGGGGTGACAGAAGGGTTCAGTGGTGGTTAAAACAGAGGCTATAAGTTCCTATTTGATCCTTCCGTAAAACTTTGGAAGCTGCCTAGTAAAGCACATGACCTTTTGTTGATATAAGAGAGCAGATTTTTTTTAAAGAAAATTTAACATCACAGCAGTGTATCAGTATAGTACTCTGGAAACGTCAAGAAAAGGGAAATGCGGATGATCCCTTTCTAAGTTTTAGTAGCTACTTTTTGTGCTAGTTGTCTTAAACTAATTTTGATTTACTGTATTTTTCCTTTTTGCTATGATGAGAAGAAGTGTATTTGTAATTAAGTAGTTCCTATTTAGAGAAATGTGTGTAATATCCTTCCATTTGATGTTGTTGCAAGTAAAACAGGGCTTTGAAAAAATTTTAGCCCTCTTCGTGTTCCTATAAGTACACATTGCAGTTTTTAAATTTGAGTTCTTATCCCAGCATAAGTTCATTTTTTGGAACTATAAATAGAATTTTGTTTGCCATTAAAAAGAATTCAAACTTTGTATTCTGTATGGTGAATTAAAAAAAAAAGCTAAAAAAAGCCAGGATGCATGATACCCAGGCTTTTTTTCATTTTCATGAAAGCTACCTTCTGTATAAACATTTGTTGTATCTGACTATGCAATGCAAGCTAGGTGCTAGACCAGCTGGTTAAAAATATGCTAAGTCAAGCTGTTCATCGCTCAAACGACTGAATTTGATATGAAAAGACGAAAAAAGAAAGGACAAAGATTAAAACATTCTAGAAGTGAAGCAATGGAAGAGAAGAAGGGTATTGAGAATAAAATAATGCTTGAATGTGGTCACATATTAGAGTAGCCAACATCAGATCAAGGAAGAAAGTAAAATAGCTAACATGTATACTTTAATACTGTCTTCTTTCTTTCATTTCATCTCTTCTTCCTCCTCTTTTTTTTTTTTTTTTTTTTTTTTTTTTTTTTAATTAGGGTGCATCTTCACAAGATAATTCCAGTGAATGGTTGAGCTTTCTTAACAATCTTGAATTATTTTTTTTCAAAGTTCTGTATATTAACTCCTTAAAATAGTTAGCTTTTGTTTGCACATATAGCCTGTCTTGTATGAAGATACTGAAGTTATTTACATTGGGACATACTAATTCTTGGTGTTGCAGTTTGTAATATGTATACCACAGTAATTTTTCTAGCGTGCACAGAGTAGCACATGATTACCTTCAACTCTATATACTTTTTGAAAATAAAACTCTGAGTCTGATTTGTAAGCCTGTTAACAGACTGTTCTTATAAAAAGGTAGTTACATATTAACAGGCTGTAACCTATTTCTCTATATAGGCAAGCTTTCCTGCTGTGAACTTTATTTGTATTTTTTTCAATTATCTCTTTTGAACTAAACTTTTCCCTTTCCTATTCTGATGTTCAAATCTCTTAACTTTTTTTTTTACTCCTGGTGAGAATTTCATTTTATTGTCACCCAAAGGCATGCTTTTCTTGCTGGCTAATTAAATAAGCAACTGATCATCAATAGAGTTATTAGTATAGACAGAATATTTGGAAATATTAGTAGCTGAAATAATTTTTTAAACGTCATACAATATACAATTTCTTAATAATTTCCCCTGTGGTTGTAATTGGTAATACAGACAAAAATCTCAGTAATTCATTATTATTTGTTTACACTGAATTTGTACGAGTGAGTATCTATAGTCACCCACATAGAGTATATCTTGCAGACTTAATATTGAATATTTATATTCTCCAAAGGAGGTATATTTGCTATAACTGCACTGTCACATATAGTCAGCTTTTTTTTTTCTTTTCAACTATTGCAACTTTCATTGAATAAGTAGGTCATTTCCATTGAGTGTTAATTTTTATTCTGTTTGCTTACCTGCCATAGATGAGTTATTCACTCAAACTTAGTCAGAAATCTGAAAAGAAAACTTTTACATTTCTTTATGAAATAAAGTAGTTTGCTCTAGAGGCTATAAATAAGTGGCTTTGGGTTCATATATTTTGGAAGTTTTATGTGATCTTTTTTTCTAACTTCATTGGTAGAGTCCTATCCATCTTCTGTTATTCTTTTCAACCTGTAGACTATTTTGAACTTCAAGGGATATTCAAAACTTAAATATCAGGATCAAAATTTGGATTTAGATTGGTTATGTCTGTATTATCAGCCCTAGAAATGAACATGGTCAATGCTGTCAGACTAATAAGCACTTGTTAAATAATTCAGAAGTCGTAACAGTTTCATTGTTAAAAAAAAATGTTCAGGAGGTAGAACAAATTGAAGAGTGATTCTAAAAAGTAAACAAGTAGAAATATTTTATTTTCATTTTTAAGCATCACTGTCATAACTGATTATGAGTAATGAAAAGCACAATTCTCAGGTGTGGGTGAATAGGCAAAGTATGTTCTGAGACATTATTTGTAAGCAATGTCTTTTACATTATACTATTTAGAGGAAACATAACTGGCAACATGATCTAAATGTCACTAATAGCATCATGACAAAGAACACTTGAACTCTCCTAAAATTTTTAAAAGAAAGTGTGATAATAAAAAATCAAGACATAAGGTTTTTCTTTTCAGAATACTCTATTTTTTTCATATTCCTAGAATGAAAATATTTAAAATAGTTGCCTTAACGATCAATTTTATCTTGTTTCTGATGAATAAAAAACCAAATTTTAATACTATCAATAGTATTGTGTTATTTCCTTTCTATTTATATTTATCCTATTTGATTATAGTGTAATAGTTTTATGACTAAGCTACTTGTTAGACTTTCTCATTGCTTTATGTTAGAGAGTTAATTAAAAAGCAAGTGTAAGATGATTGCTTACGAAGACAGGCTGATAATGTCTAGGAAAAAAGTTGGGATTAAAGGTAGTGGGATGAAGCAAATTAAGCTTATAGTATCACCTCTTTGCTTCTCTCAAAACGGGTACAGACAACAGACTGTCTATTTTGTACATGTTGAAAAGACCACTACAGGAGTAGAACCTTCTGCAGTAAAATTCTAACTTATTTGCTCTATATTCCCATCAAAATTTTTTGTAGTCATGTTGACTAAAGAAATAATTTTTGACATCAGGAAAATTTTAAGTGCTTTTTTTCTAAAGACAGAAATATACATCAGGTACTGTGAAAAGCTGTTTTGTAATTACCATGTAAAATTACTATTAGCGGACCGCAAGAATATCTCTTACATTAGCGGTACTTGAATTACGTAAAGTTTGGCCATAGTAATAAAATATTTATTACCCAGACATATTTATTCAGCTTAGTTAGAAACTTTATGAGTGATCAGTGCATTCAAGTCAGGAGGTGACCTCTAGGTGTGAATCAAAGGAAAGTTATCTGTTCACATCTGTCAACCTTATCACAACTGTAAACCTATAAGTTTGATGTTGTATTTTTAGGATATTGTGATACATGCCTTAATTCATTTTATTTATTTTTTATTGCTACTTTGTAGAGGAAGGGGTGTCTACCACTGATTATAGGTTTTAATTGCTGTCTCAATAATTTGCAAGTTAATTCAGCTATTAGGAATAAACCTTACCTGAAACACTGGACACACTATACTTCTATCACAGTCACACGCTAGTACTATCCTGAAGACATAGCAGGAGACCTGACTGATCACCGAGAACAATTAAGGGTTAAATGTCAGGTGGCACTGTGTGCTGCTCAGTGTTTAGCAAGTTGACACATACAGAAATGTGTGAATGTTATGATTACTTTACATGTTGATGTGTTCTTTTCTTATCTTATGTTTCTCAAATATAATAAGCCTAAGATAACATGGTAACGTATTTACCTGTTCTTAGGGAGCTTTTAACTAAAATCTGTGTATGCATCGTACCTGAGAGGCAAATAACAAGACCAGCTCTAATACTTTAGTACGTTACTCCTCTATAGAATTAGAAGCGATTTCACATGAATTTAAAAAGCAAAATTACATTCATGGATAAAGTCTGATCTTTATTGTCTGTTCTTCCCACTGTCAATTCTCCAAACACCTAATGGCAGTATGTATAATGCCAATGTGTATTATGTAGATTGAACATCTCCCTTTTTATAGATTAGCTGAAAAAGTATAATGGATGGATTTTTGCTTTCTTCCATAATTTGTTGTTCATTTATAAGTTCAATAAGGTTAACTAGCAGCATGGGAAATAAACCAATCTGCATATCTCTCTTATACTAACTCACATACAATTTAATATGTCAGGTGTCTGACCCAGATGATGGCAGTCAGGTAAAAAGATGTTCAAAGATTTGACCAAAACATGAAACATCGTCCTGTTAGTGGAAAATATCTATTGAACAGGAAATGGACTAAAACATAGCAAATTCTTCCTTACTTCATTCATTCTCTCCTTGTATCCTTTTCATTGATTGATAGCATCATCATTTATATTAAATATAAAGATCAAATGCTCTATAAGTGAACACCATCAAATGATATTGCTAGAGAAGAAAAAAAAAATAAGGACTGTTAGTATCTTGCTTAAGTGAATAGTGTTTATTTGGGACACTTTAGGAGAATGCTTCATATTCCTTCATTTTAAGCAGGAACTGATCATGGCTCAGGAGAAGACTTGTTATGCTTTCTGATTTCTGTGTTTTCTCCTGCAGTTTGAAAACTGCATGCCTTTCCCTTTAGCATTATCTATTCTTCCCTTCACTTACTAGTTGAGAGTTCATACATCTCTGGAGATCCTGTGGCGTATGGTTCTGCTTGTCCAATAGGGGGGTGTTGCATTTCTACACATTCAGTATCCTTTTCCCTTGGAGCCTGAGAGTAAAACCTCAGCAGTACTCCCTGCCTTTGCCAGCCTGAGGAGTCAGAGACTCAAACTTGTTCCCAGCTCTTGCGCCTTCATTGTAGAGCTGCGTTCTGCTCAGTGGGCTGCCGAGAAGGACCAGACCGAAACAAGATTTAGAAGAATTCTGGTGAGAACTGTTTATAGGGATATGGTATTTTAAAAGAATGTGGTAAACAAACAGAATTGTGGCATAAACAAAGATAATTAGCATAAACAATGTCGTTTTAGGACAGGTGGTTTAAAAAAACAAACAAAACAAAAAACCCAAATATGAACCCAACTTGAATGCTGCCAGTTTGGAACCACTGAACCTTAATCTGTACTTCATGAGAATTTCCCAGGTTTGTTGATAAACTTGTTAACATGCTTCTTCTGTTTCTTTTGTATCATTTTCCGGTCATTATGCCCTTTTGTCACCCAGCTTGAAAGTAATTAATCTATTACAAGGTAGTTTAAGGACTTTTACCCATAAAACATGACAGAAGGAAAATTAAAACCAAAAGCTTGTAGATGTCCATAGGCATTTGAAGTCAGTGTTGAACCTTAAATCAATTCAAACCTGAACTCGTCTCATTGTATTTTAAATCTTTTATCTAAGTAACATTTCAGTCACTTGGCTCTTTAGTGTTAATATATTTACTTTTGTCTTGCCTTAGAATTCAGAGACTTTTTTTTTTTTTTTTTTTTTTTTTTTTTTTTTGCTATGGCTGAATCATCACTTGTGTTATATGTTTATTTCTAAGTGTTCCTTATTTTTTCTTCCTATTTTTTCTCTATTACTTACTGAAGATGGTGTAACAGTATATACATGGAGCTGGTAATCATGAAATATGAGGATGCTAGTTGTGAACCACATTATCTATACCTGCTGTGCCGTCATGATGAATTCTTATCTGAAGACATTTAGGTTTATTACTAAATGACATTTTTTCTTAAGACCTTATACTGAAATATTTTGACTTTATTGAAATGTGGAGTGTGATGAACAGAAAGCTGTTTGTTTTTCTTGCATTAAGGACCAAAGTTTGTTTTTTTTTTTTTTTATTGAAGTTAAAAATATTTTTTTTCCTCTTTATTTTCTCATGGAGAGTGGGGAACAGGAATTCAAAGTAGGTATCTCTAGTATTCTGTAGCCCTTCTCTGTGCTGAAATGAAAGCATTTGTGAATGAGTTTTGGTTTCTTGGAGTTATAAAAATGTGTGTAAACTAGTAAACCATGTCTCATTCATGTGCTATGGAGATTTCTCGTACTTCAGGGACAAAAATAATTTGGCTACTAACGAATTAGGGCTACCTGCCAGTGCCAACACATACTGTAGGTAAGAGGAACACTATAAAGAAAAGCTGCTGGCAGCAAATCCATTGAAACTTTCATATGTAACAGCGTTCTATTTCTGCTCTTCACATCTTTGAAAGAATGTGTTTTTCAAAAAAGAAAATGTTGAGAAACAGAAAATATGATCTTTCTTAAAAATGTATTAGTAGCTTCATTTTTAATATTTCTCATTGTGGAGATGCAGAGACTTTTATATTATGTTCTGTGCACATGTGCCTCCCCTACCCATCCCAATCTTTTCTGTCACATTGAAACCTAAGAATCAGATACAGTCAGAATAGATGTTATATGGAGAAATAAAATTTACTGTCTGGGCCAAAAAAAAAAAAAAAAAAAAAA